TACTTTTTATAATCTAACAATTAAAGTACTATGACCTACTGAGGCTGCTTAACAAACTGATTCAAATAGGATTTAGATAACATTTAAGATTCTGAGGATTGGAGTGGAAATTCTAAAGAGCAGCTACTGTAAATGGATTGATTGAATGGTAATTCTTTACTATTCAATCAGTAGAGTAACGTGAGACCCCTATTTGGGTCTCTAGAGGATCACAAATGCATTGCAGTGTAAAACACAAACCATGAAAAGAAAATTGCACGGTTCTTAAGGCCACACAGGGACTGGATTGTAATTACCTTACAAAGTAAACCCTACAAGTTTAAACCTCGCTGTTTGAATTGTGTTTGTCCATTGTATCTCAATTGTCTGTCTCAACTGTTGCAGGCATCAGCACAATATACAGTATAATCCCATGGGAACATTTACCAGTCACAACCTGGTAGTCTGAAATTGCTGTGTTAGTAGTTCCCTACATAAAACAAATTAATAATATGAGTCATTAAATACAATCAAATCACTTTAACTTTTCAATAATAAAACGTTAACATATACTGTAAAAGAATGGTAATGTGGAGTTGTATTTAATATTTTCTGATCTAAATACTGTAAGATACTGTAAGATCTTCAACCCCATGTGTCAACTTATTGGGTTTTAGCATCTCCCAAATAAAAAAGTACATTTAAATCTGACAGTAACAGATTATCGCCTTCAACAGTTTAGCAGCATACATCAATACAGCATTGTCTGATAATTTGAGTTTCATTTAATGAAAAGTTAAATGTGTCTTTTTTAAATTTGAATTATAGCTCATGCAACAGCAAGCACCAGAATCATAACCGTACCAAACACCATCAACAGTGGACTGTTTTCACCAATTTCTATTTTCACCAATTTCTAGCTTAATAGATACTACTGTATAATCTACGCCTACTTCACAATTACTTAACGCCTCCCAGCTCTGCACTGAGTGTGTATCACTTTGCTGCACATTACAATGAATTGTAGCATTATACATTGAAAGAGACAATTTAGAGTAGTCAATCAAACCTAAACAGCCTATATTTGGGAGGAAGGAGGAAACATGCACCCAGAAAACAAAAACATAAGCTGTTCTGCCCTCCAAGCCGCCCATTAGAATCTCGTTTCTTGATAGAAGCCAGGTTATTCGTTTCATGCAAACGTCACAAGCTAGACAGATTGCCAAAGTGAGAATCAAACAGAGCTCTCTGAAGTGAGACAGCAGTGGTAACCCCCAAAGCCAGAATAACAAATCTGAGATCAAGGTTACTTTTTTCTTGCACCTGTAATGTGTTGCATATTGTGTATTGTCCCATGTAAGACAGACAATTATAATTGCGTCATATTTTCTTTCCAGTATTCCAAAAAAAGATGTCTCAGGCCGACACTGGTTCACTGTATTCTATTTCTTCAAGGCAAGGTAAGAGTATACAGTATGTGATGAGTCTGTTTAGAAGTACATTCAATGTTTCAAAAGTCCGTAAAATATTACATTTATAAAATAAGGCTATCTGTTTTACAGTATCTAGTCTTAGTCTATATCTGTCTCTATCTTCTACTCCTTTAGTTTGGAAACATCCTGCCCAAAGGCCAACAGAACACTGTCGGTCTGTTGTTCATGTCTCTCTGTATTCTTTGCAATCACTGATGATTCTTATGTACTTTACACAGTATGTATTTAGGAAAATAATTATGGAAAAAAAGGGACATGGATATAAACTGCTAATATGACACAATTAAATCCTACCTAATGTGTAAAACGGACATGTGTCATAGTACAGTGAAGTGTTGATGTAAGTCAAGTGGGGAGCTGAGTCAGCGTGCACTGACTGCAAAGCAACACATAAAGGTTAATTCAACACTGAAAAATAGAAAAAAGAGACACCTGAAGAAGGCAAAACTACTGAAACATTGTGTCTTCTTTATGCTTTTCAGTGTGAATTAACTGTCACTTATTCTCATGTATTAATGGAGTGTACTATGATTGGCTGCCATGTGAGTGATCAAGAATTGTCAAAACTGTGTAAGTAATTTAAAAGTTTAAACAATTAATAATTTCATTATGGTGAATACTGCTGCTCCTGGAATACTACTACTAGGTGCAGATCGGAAAATGTGGCTGGTGCGCAGCATGGAGGACCTGCACACAAAAATCCCATTTCTATTTAGATAGAGGAATATCAAGAACCAGAACTGAAACTGGGCCAGCTCTGATGTTTTTACCCTTCCCAGCCCTAACTTGTTTCCACTTACAGTACTTCTGAAACCTATTCTCCTGGCTGATCCTGTTTGGCCAAAAGTGTGCCTCAAAAAAGCAGAATTCATATCCCTGACACAGGAGCAGTTTGTTCTTTATCATTCTCTCTTAACCTGTAATCATCAGTGCTGTCTCACCACATTACTAAACTGCTTAACCATACATCCTGTCTTTAGGATACTGGTTGATCCTAAAACCAGATTAGACAGCACTTGTTGTGGAATAGAGGAATCAGCTTGCAGGTACTGTCGCTTGTCACGCCCCACACTACCTCAGAAAAGCTGTCCTGTCCCTGTCACACTCAACACTCTCCCTCTCAAACGACGTTACATTCCCGGAACCTCTGCTTCACAATCTCATCCCTGATTGAACCCATCACATTCTCACATTCATCAGATTCCTCAAATTCTCACTCCCTAACCAATCATCCAATGACTTTCCTTTCAGTATTTAAACTCCCCTCACACACCTTCCCACGCTCACTATGGAGAAGCATCTCGCAGTATTCTCCAGTGTGCGTTTCCAAGCCTTTTGACTGATCTCCTGTTACAAATCTTCTTCTTCCGTCTCTTGACCTCGCCTTCTGGATTTTGACTTTTGGATTGTTTTTGGATATCTCTCGTTACCGGACCCTCTGCCTCCCTTATTGACCAAGCCTTTGGATTTCGTCTTTCGGATCGTCCCTTTGCTACTCTGCGTTCTGTGGGATTCCGGTCACGCATAAGGATCCTCCTATCCTACCTATATGTTCCCTGACATAGCTGGAGTTGATTCCTCTCATAAGCTCGTTCAAAATCTCTCTGTATCTGAGTGCTCCTAAGCTATCCTATAGTGGCCTAAACCAGTGTTAACACCCAGTTACAGCTGCTCCTATACAGAGAATCAAAACAAATGAAGAAAAAGGCTGGTCTTTGTAGCAGATTGCTGTCTGACTCCATATTTCAGCAACAGCTGTATTCCAGCACTTGCCTCCGGAGTTCATGAAACTGGTATCCTTTACTAAAGGGGTAGTCAAGGCAGAACACCCAAACTATCCAGAAGTGATGTTAAGTAATATGTTGATGATGGTCCAGTAGAAAAATTGCTTACAGTTTATCTAAACTGTGAGTAGTATTACTCATATTTAAAACAGTAAGATATAAAACTGTGCAGTTATCTAAATGTTTAATTTCTGCAACTCAATTAAGTATACATCCTTTCCCCTTTTTACACAAAACAAGACTTACACAAATGCAACCTTATGTATAAACCTCTTGTGAACTCAAAATAAAACTTTCTAGGTAAGAAAGGTTTGTTACATGCTTGAAAAGCAAGTAGTGGGGCACATTCTACCCGAGGATGAATTGCATATACAGTAGGTTTCCCTACTTTGGTTTCCCTCAAATGTGGCTACAGTATATCTGCACATTATCACCTGAAAATTGTGAGCATATCCATATTCAAGCTATCATGTCAGATTTTTTATTTATTATTCACTGTGTATTTTATTTTGATTTTTAATTACTGAATAGCACAGTGCAGGGCAATGAAATTTACATTATTTGTATACATTTGTTAAAGGGTAATTCAAATTTATTTACTGTGTTTTTAAGGTGTATGCTATATTTGGTGTTCAATGATTCTAATTATAGGTTTTAAACCTTTTTACATTCGTCGTTAGTTCACTTTTCTCCAACTATATAAAGGAGGGGTGTTTCCTTTCATTCTCTTGCTCTTTACTCTCATCCATAATGAGCACAGATGCCTGCTAACCATTAAAGGGCAATAAACCTGCTGTTCCTGCAGTTCTGCTCTCACGTCCCTAATTCCTCAATTCACAGATACAGCTAGGGAAAATAAAGGAGGATTGTGGCAATATTATATTATTCTCTCTATGTATTCACACAACAGCTAAGAAAGGGTGGCCAATTTGTGTCAAATGTACATAAAGACTCAAGGAACCGAACTCTTACATAATCCAGGGAGTGGGTGTTCTGTGTACTTTTCAGTAAAGTTTTTCTGGCTGTTCTACAGTACATTCATTCTCTAACCATATGGAAGGCTCATTGTCCCCCAATTATGAACATTTAACTAATTGATTGATAACTAACATTGTATTTAGAATGCCCTGGGCACAAACACAACCTGAGAGGTTATGTTTAATAACAGGAATGTTTTATCGTGTCTGTCTGTGTTCCTCCAGGTAAAGAAAGAGACAATATCTCTTCTACATATGACTCATTTGCCCCTTACCAGCACTCTGGTTTGGAGGAGCTGATTGAACTTCAGGAAAAAGTAAAAAGGGGATCGCTTACAATGGATGAAGCTTTGGACAGATTCAATGAGTGGCAGAAGATGCAAAAAGGATTGGATGCATTGCAGCAGGTAATGTTTTTCATTTAGCTTAACAGACATATACTCCTTGCTCATGTCTTTTTATATTTTCATACTCATTATGAACCTGGGTCTATTTTTAAAGAAGAGATGCACTATGAATAGGGAAATTCCAGTGTCCAAATGTTTTTTTTATCTAAATTCATGTTTCAAGATTCATTTTATCCTTTGCAATTGAATTTATCTCTTTTGCTAATTACTGTACATCCCACATTTCATTATCTTTACTCTGTAGAGCAGATCAATAGACTTTACCTCTGGGAGGTGTTCTGAGGAACTCAAGCAATAAGCAGTAAGCAGAAAGCAAGCCATCATTAGCCATGTGTACCATTTCAGTTTCATATGTTGACTTTCCTGATAATCCTGATAATTTTTCACAATCATTGTGAAGACCATTATTCAGCGATAACCACAGATATCCCATATAACAATGTTTTGTTCTATGTCTGCATTAATAATTGATAACTGAATTCGGTGGTCTCTACTGTAAATCATTTTAGCACTATGTCCTTTGAAATGACCCTTGATATACAGTATAGAGGGGAATTACTGTGTTTGAATGCTCTTTTTGATGCATACAGTAGTGCTACACCTTTCCTTACAGGACATCTTTCCTGTCTCTTCAGAATGCTGTGTATTCATGTTCTTTTCATTGCTGTGTTCATCACCATCATTCTCTGCTACTGTACCTATGTTTCAGTGATTTAGATTACAATTGCCTGCTAATGCAGTTGCGTTTGTTTCTTGTATTGTGTTCCTAACGACTTTACCATGGGGACAGCACAGTATTATGGGTAAACGTTTAAGGGTTCAGTTCCCCCACTGCAGAAACTTGTGTTGTACTCTTAAGTAAGGTGTCTGTGTTGCACCAAACCACCCAGCTATAAAAGTGGAGACTGGCAATTTTTTTTAAATTAAGAAATAAATCAATCTTAAGTAAAGAAATGTCACCTCTAATACAATGTTAATCATTATAAGACAACAACCGAAGATTAATACCTATAAATTTGGGTGTGGCTGTAGGGTTTAGAAAAGTGTAACAGGGGTCATAGTTGTTTTGTATTTTAATTTTATTTTGTTAGTCCTGTCATGCAGAAAGAACATATTCTGGCTACTTACAGTAAGTGATCACTGCTTCAGAACTGCATTGACTGCTGGCTTACAACAAAAGCTAGAAACAAACTGCAAACATGAAACAACGAGAGCAATGTAATATATTTGAAGTTTGAAGATCCTTTGAGATATGCAGTTTGGGCACTTGGAAGTGTGGTTGACGTGACCTATGTGTTCCAATCCTGGACATAGCTAAGAACAAATTTGTCTGTGAATGCAGAAATGGCAGAACCAAACATTATACAGCTTTGTCAGCTTTAGGGTACTGGACAAATTATGATTACAAAGCTATAGAAATGAATTTCTCTACAAATCAAGTTGTCATTAGAAAATAATGAAAATGTATAAAATATCCCGTTAAAAGCTGAACTTCCCCATCTTAATATTAATTAATAAATAAATAAAATAAACACTGGATTCCTTATCACAAAAGTGATATAGTAAGAAAAAAGATAAATTTAAGGAGAGAAATTATGCATAATTAACGTAATACAGTACGTATCAATTGCTTTACTCTTATGCACCGTTAGTATGCAAACTAGTAAATAGTGATTTGGATTTTTTTATTGAATGTTTAAAGGTAAAATTGCAACAGCTGAGGGCGAGTATTATCAACAACAGAGAAGATGATGACAATGTCTACGGTAAAGTTAACACAGAAACATTTGCTTATAATTGTTTTAAAATGTATGATTTCATAAGAATGATGAAAAATAAGAAATTGATATGAATTTCATACAACAATTAAAAGACAACCAGTTGAGAATAAGCAATTAATAATAAGCAAATGAGAATTCAGTACTGTATGCTACATTATATGAAAGACCATAGAGAACAAGAAAAGGTTATATTGGATATTTTAATTTAAACCAACATGTTGAGTGCCTTCGTCTCACTCAATTAACTCCTTGATTGTCACACTTTTTATTAAAACATAAGTTATACATTTATTGCATTCATCAGCACGTAGGCTGCAAAGGAGAAGCTGAGGTTAATTCCATGTGGGGAATTTTTCAGGGGGGAATTAACCTGTACTTTTCCCAAAAGCAAAAAAGGTATAATCTCACAAGTGCTGTGCATGATTTAAAAAAATACCATTCAGTAATGAGAGTAAAGGTCCACTGGTTCTTTAGTTTAATTATCTAAATGTTTGTGTGGCAGTTTACTTAATTTAAAAAGCATTGTTCTGCTTTTTGGAAAACTAAATTTTATCAATTTAAGAATGTCATACAAGACTGCTGGTCTAGGAAAATAACTGAAATGAACAGAGTGGTATTTTCTTCGCAGATAAAATTAACATCATCCATCATACACCAGGTAAGTGCTGTGTTTGTTTCTGCACAATGAAAAGAATTTAGCATACAGTGAATCAGCATGATAGTATTTTAATTGTTTCTTAAGCAAACAAATATCAACCTACAGGATTTTGTTCCCCTTTAGGTTCCAAAATCACAGAAAACTGGTAGAGCGAAAGCTTATTGTTGATATTTATCATAAATTTACTATTGCTTATCATTTTTAATAACAATGCATTGTTTCTTTTGTGGTTAATTGGGGGGTCATTAAAATGTTGATGTAGTGTACTGTATAATACTGCATGAGTTTATTTAAACTAGCAGTTTATTTAGACAGGATATTTTCCCAAACACCACTTAACAACTTCCAAGGAATAAGGACTTTACTATGTCTTATGTCTTTACTATATACCTTTGGATTCATACACCCCTTGATTCATTAGCTTTACATTAATTTTCACTTTACATTCAAAATTCACTACTGATGACAGTGCTGTATTTTTACAGGCTTTTGAATTTGTAATCACTTTCACAAGATGGAGGACAGCAGTAAATTGTTAAGTTATTTATTAATACCAGTTCTAGTGGAAGTGAACCTAAATTTACAAATGGAATTTAATGCACAAAATCCCATTAGGCTTTATCTCTTATTTCTTTTGTTCATGTTCTGACTGTTCTTTATGTATGTACAGTAGGTATGAGTGACTCTGGGCAGGGAAGCCAAACTGCAGAGCAGGATTTCTACAGCAAGCCCTTCAAAGGCCATCAGGTAATTGATGGAAGACTAACCTAAATACATAAGTATACCTTGTTTCTTTAATTTTTTTCATCTGACTTGGATATACTGTACAATCAAGCTATTGTAACTGTAAATCCTGTTAAAGTTGCCAAACTTTAAATTTTTAGTAGTCATATACAGTATAGTACTTAAATGTAACAGCTAATACGTACTGAGAGGTATTCAAATGTAACAAGTACTGATTCCAATACTCCCAGCTCCTCCCAGTTTACCACACATTCAGTATAACGAATTTACAGTAAAATGTAAAAATGATAACCTGATAATATCTATAATTTCCATGTTGTTATTGTCACACAATTAATAGCTAAAAAACAATTGATATGCACAGTATAACTCTGTGTATTACTTTTTTTTTAAATTAAGTAGACTTTTTTATTCCAAATCCAAAATGTCCCCAGACACACTTCTAAGAGCTAGTGGACATTTTATTTTAGTTTTTAAACTATTTAATTTTAGATGATTTTACAAAACATACTGTATTACTGTATGAATGAATTAGTTGTCCTACAATTGACTGGTATCCCATCTAAGGTCTATCCTGTCTATCCTGCCTTGTGCCCACTGACTTTATTGGATAAGGCCCAGGCTAATCACAAATTTGTGTTCAGATTTCTTCAGCTAAATTTATCAGGTCTCCCTATAGTAATATCAGCTCAAAGACCAAAAAGATTTAGTTCTTTCAAGCTGACAGCTGTCAGGAGAGTTCTGTAAGCACATATATGCATCTAATTATTCTTATCTGGATAGATTTAACAGCAGCAATATGTTTTTTTACACAATTTGTGTTCACAGTATTCTATATGAGAAATTAATAGTACATTTTATGGTGTTAACTTAATATCCATTGATTAAATGTCTACATTTGAAACATTGTTTAGAAGATGAGAATAATGTGTCAACAAAAATACCTACTGTAAGTAATGTTTCCCACCTCATCTATTTATTGTTTGTTTCTGCTACTCTATACTTCTGCTACTTACTGTATTTACACTAAATGTAATCTTTCAGGTATTTGAGTAGCCCTTGATCCCACCTTAATCTTTCTGAATTTCTTTTTATCACTGCAGCAGTGTTTTCCTGATCTTTCTATCTTCTTCGCATAAGGAAGAGAAGTGGTTTAAAATTAAATACAGCATAACTTAATGTATGCTTCATTTATACAGTATCCATTGCTTGTTCAAAGGCCTCTGTTTATATATTTAATAAAGACTTACCTTTTCTAAATCCACATGAACTATCCCTTATAATCCTGATCCAATTCAACTAATCCTCTAATTAAGCTCTCAGTATTGTTTCCATAATTTTACATGTGATAAAAAAGAACAAGTTATATTGGTATGTAATTATTTTATTTGGCTTTATCAACCTTTTTGTTAAAGAGTGTTATTTTTTGCAGTAGTCTAGTCATATAACTACTGTCTAACAAATAACTTACAGTACACAGAGAAAATTGTCTTGTGAAGTGCAGCAAATAATTTTGTCTGATTTTTTTTTACCTTTTAATGTATTTGTTTTGCAGTCTCATTTCTTTGGGAAATCTGATAAACGATAAATGGTAAGGTGAATATTAAATGCAGTAAATTGGCTGCCTAACATGAAGATTTTGAATATTTTTTTTGTTCTTGTTTAAACAGTCACACCCCATTTTATTTAATTATCGTTGTTGTTTATTTGTAATCAATATAAAATCAGCAATTGTTTAATTTTGCTTTTTAAATTTACATTGTCTTGAATGATAAATCTAATTAGTCAATTTAAACCATCTTTAAATACTGTTTTTATTACAGACTACTGCAAAGCTGGAACAAAACAAATGAAAGCTGACTGCGAATGTACTTCTGTATAAAATTACTATACACAATGTTACAATGATTTTTACACTGAATCTTTATATTATTTGCAACACAACTATCTTAATGATTTGTATTAAAAACAAATTAATCATTTTTAACAAAAAATATAGTTTTTAACTTTTAATAGCATATATGTTAGTATATGAATGTGAGTAGGACAAATACATTCTCCTCATAGTTTTAGTGTTACATTTTTTGTTTAAAGTTAAAATGTTGTTTCTGTTCATTTCTGTTTATTCATGAGTATTCACCATTATTTTTAGAACCAGTAGAATTTTTCTTATTTGTGTGTTTTATTATTGTAAGGATCAGTGAATCTGTGTGATAAACATTTTCCTTGAACATTTATAACATATTACCATAATAAAATGCTTGTATATCTTATCATTGTTTTTCTTTTTTCTTCCATTTTTAAACACTGATCTGTAAAAGGGAGAAAAGGACAGGCATCCTCAGCTTGACACAAGAAACCTGCAAATAAACACTTGCCCAGAAAACTGAAAATGTTTCTGTTATTTCTGATCCACACTTGTAGTCTCTTGCATGCACTTGTCAAAGTGGCATGCACAACACCTTTGAATTGAGCCCTACAGGATTAATTCTGAACTGTGGTCAGTGGTACATGTCAGATCAGCTGGTCAGGAAGTACTAGCAACCTATTACATAAATAAGTACTTCAAAGTCTCTCCTCAAAGAACATAATAAGGGTCATTGTACATTTGGCTGAGTGCCACTGGGGTTGGTGGGTTTGAAATTAGCTGTGCAGAAAGCCGGAATTGCTGAGACTGTCAGGGTGCTTGTGTACAGTGTTATCAGTGAGAGATGCTTCAGCTGACCGTCTGATAGCCTTAGTTCTGGTGCGCTTGGTAAATGAAAAGAAGCAGATGACCTGACAGCACAATTTAAAGGATGCATGACTGTTATTTTCACCTCTCTTATACATACAAGATTTGAGCTGAGCTGATTTAATAAATGGTTACTTCAAACTAGAGTACAGCATATAAACAGCAATATAAATAAATATATATTTATAAAATAAATGTACATTCCCAGTTTTAAAAAAGTACTAGACTTTGTACTTCTGCACAAATGCTGTATGCTGCAGTACATTGCAATGTATTCACCTCTTTCAAGCATTTTTTTAATTACAAATGCAGTGATATGTAAAGTATTGTTTTAATAAAAACTGAATGCTCAATAGAAAAAAACAAAAACTACAATTTGTTGATTTGTATAAGTATTCACCCCTTTTTGATATGTTTGCAAACTTAAATTAGTTATTTGACAAGTGGTTCACATCCTTCAGAATAAATTCAGTTGTACAGTGATGAGTTTAAAACTATATATTATATATTATATATTGCTTACACTTATATAGTGCCTTTCTGGACACTCCACTCAACGCGCTTTACAGGTAATGGGGATCCCCTCCACCACCACCAATGTGCAGCCTCACCTGGATGATGCGACGGCAGCCATAGTGCACCAGAATGCTCACCACACATCAGATATCAGTGGGGAGGAGAGCACAGTAATGAAGCCAATTCATGGATGGGGACTATCAGGAGGCCATGATTGGTAAGGGCCAATGGGAAATTTGGCCAGGACGCCGGGGTTACACCCCTACTCTCTTCGAGAAATGCCCTGGGATTTTTAGTGACCACGGAGAGTCAGGACCTTGGTTTTGCGTCTCATCGGAAGGAAGGCACCTGTTTACAGTATAGTGTCCCGTCTCTATACTGGGGCATTAGGACTCACATAGACCGCAGGGTGAGCGCCCCCTTTTGGCCCCACTAACACCTCTTCCACCAACCTTAGTTTTTCCCAGGAGGTCTCCCATCCAGGTACCGACCAGGCTCACACCTGCTTAGCTTCAGTGGGTTGCCAGTTGTGAGTTGATATGGCTGCTGGCTGCTACTAAAACTAGCTAAACCAGCTAGCTAAAACTACTCATGGATAAAGTTGTAGAAAGGCAAGGTTTGAAGAAGAAGAGTCTAAAAATTGCATTCATTTTGAGCTTGGTGTCCGCCACCAAAACTGAGCAACTGGACATTAAGGAGACCAATTAGGGATTCCACCATTTGGGAAGAACTACAGTTCATTGGCTAAGATAGATGGAAATGTCCGTGAGTGAGAAATACTGTATCTCTGTGAGAAAATATCTTTGTCATTCCAGGGAGCTGGCATTTATGGCTGAGGCTCAACTCAACAGAATTTGCAATGAAGCATTTAAGTTACAGTATACTACAAACATGTGGCTAAAGTTTCTGTGGTCATACAGTATGAGACAAAATTGGAACCATTTGGTCTAAATGCAGATATGTGTGTAAACCCAATATAGTGCACCACTCAGTCAACACCATCCTTACTGCCAAGCATGGTGGTTGCAGTATTACTGTATGTTATGGATTATGGATAATTAAAGGCATATTTTAGATGGAAACCTGATTCAGTCTGTAAAAGGCATAAAGCGGGTATGCAAATTCTCCTTTCAGCAACACAATGATGCACAAGGACAAAGCTAGACTGGTGTGGCATCACAACATATTAAATTACGTTTTTTTTCAAACTCCAGATTTATATATGATAGAAAAATATTATTCATATATAAACATTATTGTTTGTTTTTCCCAGTTCAGTTGATAAGAACAATAAAATACAAGGCGCTCAATTCAGTGGTAACTATCGATAAATCACTATTTTCCCATTTAATCCAACTTTTTACATTAATCTGTGGCAAAACTTGAAAAGTGTTGTCAATCAATAAATCCTTGCCAACGTGACAAAGTCAATAAAGAAAAACTGGTATATCCCTGTGTGTAAAGTTGTTACTTATTCAAAAAGACTTTCAGCTATAATTGCTGCTAAAGGTACTTATTGATTCAGGCAGGTGAAAACTTGTGCAACTGACATATTTAAGGTTGGAGTTTTTCCTTGTGGTTTTTGCTTACATGTAAATTATTTTTCCCTTTATAAGTGTTCAGTTTGATCATTCATTTTTTTTGCCAAAATACTCACTTTAAAAAATGTGTAGACATTTGTAATTCAACAAAATGGGACACTGGAGGGGTGTGAATACTTTTGCAAGGCATTGCGTATTGTCCTTTAGTAGTGGGTGCTGGACCGATTTCTGAAAGTCTGGGTGGGGGGTTAAATTCTGATTAGGGCACTGCTGTTGTTTCAAGGTAATTTGCTTCAATAAATGGCAAGCAGAATAATTAGCTATAAATGCAAACTACTTTAGATAAATACATCAGCCAAGGACATTCATAATAATCATCTCTGTGGATTTACTTCTTCAGACCTTTACCATAACTTTCACAAAAACACAAAATGTTGACTCTTCAGCAAAAAGCATTGAACAACACCTTATGTATATTTTGTACACTGAAATTTGTGGCCGTTCCTTAACTAAACCATTTTTGTGATGAACAGTAAGTGTTGAAAATTGTTCTTTTCATAAAACTACTATATTTTAATGGCATTTTTTTCTTTCATGCAGAAGAAAAAATGTTTCAGTATACTGCAAATGCAAATGATTTACTGGGTTAAAACACTGTAAATCAAGCCAAGTGTATCAAATACATCATGCAGCTGTCTATTTTTCTTTTAAATCCAACTGCTTACATGATCTTCTATCAAATGCTAATGAAAACAGATGTCACGGTGATTTTTATTTATAGAATAGCAACACATAAATAAACATTAATATTTATTGACGTCTGTTACAACTCTTAAGAGAGAGAGAAGAAAAAACTAGAACTTGTCATTCTGCTTTAAGTAAATCAGAAATGTTTGATTAAAATAGAAAATATTATACTCCTGTGGGTCCTTAATGTAAAAAAAACAGAAGTTGTGAACAAAAAAATCATTGCCCTCTACATGAACTTGAAACATGAACAAATATTTAAAATCTACAGTGTGTGCTTTGATTCCCATACTACACTGGTTAAAAAAATAGAGGAAAAACTGGGTGACTTTCAGTATTTTTTTAATGATCCTGAAAGTCTTTTTCATCTTTGCAAGAAATACTACAGTATATCATCTCTAAGATTTTGTAACTTATGCGCAAGAATACTTTAGCTGAAGACAAATCAATGCCATCCATATTTTGAAAACAATATATTTTCAATTTTAATCCACTACCATGACAAAAGATGCAAACTAGCCTTTAATCTGCAAACTATTCAAACAGTTTGCTATGATGAATAAATATATTGTGTGCTCTCGATATGTACAGTATCTTAATTTCTGTTAATATGTCACTTCTGATATAGACCTCATCTACAGCATGAGACAAATTCTCAGTATACTGGAAGCATTTTGGGACACAGGGTCAACTGGTACAGTACCATATTTTAATTTGAAACAAAAACACATAAGTGCATTTTAACTGTTTGTTAGGGCTATTACCCTGAATAAACAAGAAAACAGTCTTGCATTCAAACAAAAAGCTTGGATAATAGAGCAATATATCTGAAACCAAATGAATTTCTTCAGAAACTATTGAATATGTTTCTGTGGTCATGCTGGACAGCCACTAAGGGACTTATTTTAGCATGCTAGCTGTTGTGTCAGTGCATTAATATGCACTTCTTTGCAACAACGTGCACTCAATATGCCAATTTTAACTTTTTAAATTGGCTGCTTTTATTATGTTTTTATTAAATCATTTGAATATAGTGTAATAAAAATGATCTTTTCTTCTTTTTTTATTAAGGAATTCTATTTTACATTATTTTACTTAAAAGTTTAAACTAGATAAGATTTTATGTGTTATTTTGTCAAAAGTTGACAATTGCTACTGGTAGACATAAGGAAATAATAAAAGAGGACACTAGAGGGGGCTGTAGCACTTATTATAGGGGTTTAAAACCTTTGATAGCCTTAAAACCTGCTGTGGTTCAGAGGACAAAAGAGGGAATCTTCAGCATTTTGATCTTAGTTTTCTATCATAATTCTAATGGTGTCTCTCATTGGGTGATGATTATGGGTAGCTCCTTCTATGGCTTTGCAATACAGGTTTTTAAAAGAAATCATTTTGAAGAGGGACGTTAAAATAGTTTTATTGAACAAAACAAACTCAGAAACTCCCAATTTAGGATTTCTGGGTGACCATAAAAGCACTGCTGGTGTGTAATAGCTGAGGAAAACATTGATTGCTGCCAACAAAGCAGCTGGGCATACATTCATTGAATTTGCATGATCAATGGTAGTCTTTGTGAATAATATGTATTAAACCAGTTTCCATTTAGATGTGCCAGTTAGCCTTTGGAAATGATTGAGATCCAGGGACCCGGTGGCATTTCTAGCATATGCTTGTGTTTTGCCTTTTCTGTGAAAATGCAACCCACTGAAAAGCTTTACTTTATAGGCGTGGCATGGCTGGAGACACTACGCATTTTGTATTTCTTCAAACAACTCGA